TTTCATTAATCAGTATTTTTTATTTTTTTTCTTTTTTTTTAAAGGGATATATTAAGCTTTTATCGGATAATGTGCCTTAACAAACTTGTTTTCACATTACTGATATGGTTTGAACGCATCCTATTTTTTGCCAGTTTAAAGCAGAATCACATCACTTTTGACAACCACCTTCAGCTTTTAGCCCCACCAGCCTATAGTGACTTTTTTTGTCCCAGTTTAATATATTTGTTTCCCACACGTGGTTCATGCTTTTACATACAGAGCACATGGATCTGGAAATATTATGTAATACTGTTTTTTACACGGCTCTGTGTCTTAGACATGGCAGAGATTTTGCAACTTTCATCTTTTCTATACGATGCCCTGGAATTCAGCTGTTTTGCCAAACATAAGTAGGACTTGTCCTTTTTCACTGTTGTACGGTCTTTTATTTTATTTCAATGGCTCTAGGGGCCCGAGTGGGTTTTGATTACATGGATGAACTCTGGAGCGGTGAGGAGGTCTAGGCTTTAAGTGAAGTGGACCTGTCCCCAACTAGTGCGCCCTGTACCTGATGGGAGATTTTCACCCTTCACCTCTCTCCCCGCCGAGACTCCAGCGGCCGTCATCCCCTCCTCTGTGCCTTTGTGGACCCCAGCGTAGGTCCCACTCATAAGTGGGAACGCGCAGTGTTTGGTTTCCTATTCCTGTATCACTTCATTCAGGATAATGGCCTCCAATCCCATCCAAGTTGTACAAAAGACATTGTTTCATTCTTTGTATGGCCGAAAGTATTCCATAGTGTATATATACCACACTTTCATTGTCCGCTGCTCAGTTGATGGGCCTTAGGTTGATTCCACGTCTTTGCCATTGTGAACTGTGATGCGGTGAACATACAAGTACAGGTGTCTTTTTTTCTTTTCTTTTCTTTTTTTGTGGTATAGCAAGCTCTGTTTCTTTAGGTAGATTCCCAGCAGTAGGATTGCTGGGTCGAATGGTAGACATGCTGTTAGTTACTTGAGAAATTGCTATACTGTCTTTCACAGAGGCTTTACTGATTTGCATTCCCACCACCAGTGTATCAGTGTTCCCTTTTGCCCCTAATCAGCACCAGCATCTACTATTTTTTGGTTTTTTGACAATGGCCATTCTGCTGGTGTAAGGTGGTATCAACTTGTGGTTTTGATGATTAAGTGATGTTGAGCCCTTTTCCATATGTGTGTTGGTCATTTGTATATCTTCTCTTGAGAGATGTTTGTTCATATTATTTGCCCACTTTGTAATGGGGTTATTTTTTTCTTGCTGATTTCTTTGAGTTCCTTGTAAATTCTGAATATTAGTCCTTTGTCAGATGTATAGTTTGTGAATATTTTCTCCCATTCTGTAGGTTGCTTTTTAACTCTGTTGATCATTTCTTTTGTTGTACCGAAGACTTCTATTTTATTATTTATTTTATTTACTTATTTTTTTGAGCCTGGGGTCTTACTCTGTCACCCAGGCTGGAGTGCAGGGGCACGACCGTGGTTCACTGCAGCCTCAAACTCCTGGGCTCAAGTAGTCCTCTCACCTCAGCCTTCCAAGACTACAAGCAGGTGCCACCGCACCCAGTTAATTGTTTTGATTTTTATTTTTGTAGAGACAAAGTCTCAAAACTCCTTGGCTCAAGCAGTCCTCCTGCCTTGGCCTCTCAAAGTGCTAGGATTATAGGAGTGAGCCACCACGCCCAGCCCCAGGAACTTTTTAATATAATTAAGTTCCACTTATATATGTTTGTTTTTATTGCATTTGTTTTGGGGATCTTGTTTGTTTTTGTTTTTTTGTTTTGTTTTGTTTTGTCTTGAGTAGGAGTCTCACTCAGTCACCCAGATTGGAGTGCAGTGGCCGCTCCCAGCCACCACAGCCTCGACCTGCTGGGCTCTGGCGATCCTTCCGCCTCAGCCTTCCAAGTAGTTGGAATTACAGGCATGTGCCACCACGCCTGGCTGATTTTTTGATTTACTGTAGAGATGAGGTCTTGCTGCCCAGGCAGGTCTCAAACCCGCGGGCTCAAGCAATCCACTCACCTCAGCCTCCCAAAGGCACGGGATTACAGGCTGAGCCACCGAGCCCGGCTGTTTTGGGGATCTTAAACATAATTTTTCATAGGCCAATGTCCAGAAGGATTTTCCTAGGTTTTCTTCTAGGATTTCAGGTTTCAGGTCTTACAGTTAAGTCATTAATCCATCATGAGTTTATTTTGTATGGTGAGAGATAGGGAATCCAGTTTCAGTCTTATGTGCATAGCTATCCCGTTTTCCCTGCACTGTTTGTTGAATAGGGCGTCCCTTCCCCAGTATACATTTTTGCCTGCTTTGTTGAAGACCAGTTGGTTGTAGGTATTTGGGTTTATTTCTGGATTCTCTGTTCTATTCCACTGGTCCATGTGTCTGCTCTTGTACTAGGACCGTGCTATTTTGGTTACTACAGTCTTGTAGTATCATTTGAAACAGGGTAATATGGTGCCTCCAACTTTTTTCTTTTTGCTTATGATGGGGCTTTGGCTATTCTGGCTCCTTTATGGTTTCATATAAGTTTTAGGATTCCTTTTTCTAATTCTGTGGAAAATGATGTTGGCAATTTGATAGGAAGAGTGTTGAATCTGTAGATTGCTTTGGGGAGTATGGTCATTTTAGCAGTGTTAGTTCTCCCAATTTATGAGCATGAGATGTTTTTTTATTTGTTTGATCCTCTACAATTTCTTTCATCAGTGTTTTGTGGTTCATTCTTCTTGTAAAGAGCTTTCACCTCCTTGGTTAAACAAGCAAACATTTGAAATAAACATTTTCTAAGTGATGGCAGTTATGTGTCTGGCTGACCTCGGGATCCCATGAGTCATGACTTCTAAAAACGTCAATTGTTAATTGATTGTCTGTCAGGGGCTGGGTTGTGTTGTGCTCATCTAAAGCTGTGTTAGGGTGGGAAAACTCACTTGGAATTTGACAGAATAACAGCCACCAGCTAGCTCAGCCTGTTGGCTGCTCTGTGTTTGTGCTTAGAGTGTCTCTTTATCCTCTGTGGAAGGGAGGTGTTGTCAATTTTTCTTTACAGGTAAGAAACTGAGACGCGGGGTTGGTTTGGGACCTGTCAGTTATTAGAACAAGGGTTTGAGCTGATGCCTGACTGTCTGTGAGCTAGGTCTGACCACTCCATACTGCTCTTCCTACAATTCAGAGCACACCAGGAAAGCCAATCCCACTGAACACAGGAGAATGGGGACGAGGTGACTCACCCCTCAGGAGACTTTTTAAGAAGAGAGAGGAGTGGCGTCATCTCCGGTCAGTGTAGGGAGGACGCTGGTTGTTCTGAAGTGACCACTGTCCACTGTAGCATTTAATGACACCACTGTCGCTTTCAGGCAAGTCAAGGATAAGAACATCATAGAGCTGGTGCATCAGGTGTCTATGGGAATGAAGTACTTGGAAGAGTGCAATTTTGTGCACAGAGACCTGGCGGCAAGAAACGTGTTGCTGGTCACTCAACATTATGCCAAGATCAGTGATTTCGGACTTTCCAAGGCACTTCGTGCCGATGAAAACTACTACAAGGTAGGCACGACTTGGCACAGAGGCGGAGCAGCAGGTGGTAGAGAATGAAAGGCAAAGTATGCTTGCTTTACTTTCTGGTGGTAGGGTTTCAAGAAGCAATGTAGCTAGTTCAAGATGCCTGTGTAAATGTACTTGTTCAACTTTGATGCTCTCGTTTAAAAACGGAAATGCTCTAACATGTCACACCTTGAGATGTACTCAGATGAGTAGCTTCCAAATGATGCTTCATGGAAGAATCAGGAGTCAAGGTATTAAGTGATAACTCACTTTGAGAAGGGTGTGGATTCCTTCCTTCAATTACTTAGGGAAACGTGGGTTGGCCAGGTTGACTCTTGCAGGATTCCCCAAACTCTTGTCGTGCTCCTGGCTGTTGCACATGCCAGCGAAGGGTCTTGCCCTGCAGCCTCCTCACACCACGTCACCCAAGGAATCCTTCTCCAGAGCACCCAGGAGTGTCTCGGGGAGCATTGTTCCACTGCATACAGTCGGGATCATCCCCAAAGTCACCTGTGAATGAACATCCAGCTATGGTAAAAGGTAGAAATCGGAGATTTATCCAATAAGTCCGTCATCTACTTCTGACTACCAGGTCAGGGCCCCTGTATTCCCACTAAATATGTGGAAATTTTTCTGTTGGCACAATTGGTACCCAGGGGAATTGGTTGTCCATAAAGAAATGTAGTTCTGGAAGGCAAAGATCAAGGCAGTTCTATGAATGGGGCCAGGAAAGAAACATGCCCCTCAGTTTGTTAAGGTGGAAATTGAGGAATTCAGGATGGACTTCTAGCAAAGCATCAAGCAGGAGTCAGTCCCCAGTACAGTTTGGACTTCCTAAAAAAAGTGTCACTCCCTTTATAATGTGATTTTACCCCTCTTGGACCTTCAAGTGAACCAATAACTAAAAGCAGAGAAAAAGGATAAGACGGCTGGGCTCGATGGCTCAGCCTATCATCCCGCGTCTTTGGGAGGCTGAGGTAAGTGGATTGCCTGAGGCCGTGGGTTCAAGACCCGCCTGGGCAGCGAGACCTCATCTCTACAATAAATCAAAAAAATCAGCCGGGCGTGGTAGCGTGCGCCTGTAATTCCGGCTACTTGGAAGGCTGAGGCGGAAGGATCGCCGGAGCCCAGCAGATCGAGGCTGCGGTGGCCGGGAGCGGCCACTGCACTCCAGTCTGGGCGACAGAGTGAGACTCCAACTCAAAAAAAAAAAGAGCGAAAAAGGATAAGAAAGCCCATCTCCATGTGACTCAGCCCTGATGTATGCATAGGGTCTGTGCTGACCAGCTGGTACTTGTGGGCTTGAAACACCCAGTGAGTGGAAGGGTACCACATGCGTGTCACAACCCCGAGGGTCTCCAGGAACATCCCGAGTGATCAGAAGTAGACAATAGACCCTGAAGTCTAATGAATGGATGGCAGACAGGGCCCTGAGTGCCTCACCTTGCAGTGGCCGGAGACTCCCTGAATGACAACACACGCCACTTGGCCCTTCTCTGAGAGGAAGTCTGGGGACCTGGCAGGTGACGGAAGAAGGTGGACCTTGGTCATCCAAGGGACCACATGAAGGGTGAATGACAGGAGCCAGTCTCCCAGGCACGTGGGCAGCCTCCACCCACATGAGAATAGAGGCCATGAGGGAGCTCAGGCGGCACAGGCTGACCCATGCGCCGGGGTGACTCACCATGTCCCAGGCTGACCCATGCTCCCAGGCTGCGGGTCACCTTCTCTCAGGCTGAGGATGAGTGACCCCCTCCCGGCTGAAGAGTCACCTTTTCCCAGGTTGAGGGTGATCTTATCCCACACTGAGGAGCACCTTCTCCCAGGTTAAGGGTCACCTTCTCTCAAGTTGAAGGTCACCTTCTCCCGGGTTGAAAGTGGCCTCCCAAGTTGAGGGTCACCATCCCCCAAGACTCCACTGGGTGCCGCCTGATTCCCAAACCCAAACGAAAGAGTTTTGCTGTCTACGGTTTTGATTTCTTCACTACCATTTTCTTTTAAAATTTGAAAGTTAGAAAGTTAGAAAGTTTAAATTATTTTGAAAATGATCTTAGCCAGTAGTCTATGCCAAGATCGTTAGCTTTGGCTTAAACCTATGGACAAACACATGGTAACAGTTGTATAAACTCATGCTTCTTGAAGCCCAGCCTTGAAGTCAAGTCCTGGCTGGACTCCCCGCTGTCCCCTGCATCCCCTGCAACCATGGTGGGAAGAGGAAAAAACTGAAAGATGAAAGATGCAGGCATCAGCCTGGATCTTAAGAAATAAGTATTTAACCTTCAAAGAGTGTCCCAGGTTTTAAGATGTAATAGTATTTTTAAAATTCAGACCAAACACACACACACATGCACGCACACTCACAGCATTTTGTGGGCCACACTTTTATTTCCTTTTAAAGTTGTGACACGGAGCATGAAGTTGACTGTCCTCATCACCCCCTCACATACCGTCTACTTGTGTTAGATCCGTTCCCACCGGTGCAGCCCATACCCAGACCTCTTCATCTTGCAAAACAGAAGCTCTGTCCCCATTAGACACCAGCTCCCCACTTGCACCCAACCCCTAGACCACCCTCCTGCTTTCTAGCTCCAGAATTTGGCTGTCCAGGTCCCTCGTGTGAGTGAAACCACACGGCCTTTGTCTGGTGGTGAGTGGCTCGTTTCACTGAGTGCAGCATCCTCAGGGTTCAGCTGTGGCGTGGGTGTTGGCTGGCCTTCCTTTCTCGGGCTGAGTGGCATCTGCCGTGTGGCTAGACCACACTGGTCAACCCGCTCGTTGTTCAGTCACGCTTGGGCCATCTCCACATGCTGGTGCTGGGATCATGCTGCCGTGGACACGTCGCTCACAATGTCACCCTCACGGCGCCTCGTCCTCCCCCACAGGCGCAGACGCATGGGAAGTGGCCGGTGAAGTGGTACGCCCCGGAGTGCATCAACTACTACAAGTTCTCCAGCAAGAGTGACGTCTGGAGCTTTGGGGTGCTCATGTGGGAGGCCTTCTCCTACGGGCAGAAGCCATACCGGGTGAGCCCCTCTCTGTCCTCACATGGGGCCGAGAGGATGGATACGCCGCAGGCTGGCTTCACCGAAATGTGAAAACCTCAAAACTGGGACACGCCCCGCAACCCTGAGCCCTCCATTCTCCTTTGACAGCAGGCAGTTAGCATGACTTCAGTTAATTCTAAACTGAGGACACTTTCGGCACCCACCAACCATGTGTTTTTCCTGCTGGTGGTGCATGTATAAAGAGGCGTAAATTGTGGACCCAGACTGTCATTCACTAGATTGGAAGTAGAAATGACAGGTATTTACAGGGTCACACGTGCAGCTCGGCTACATACTCTCACTCTCTGTCTCCAAACATGTGTACCCACAAGGCACACATCTTAGGATGGAGCTCAGTGAGTTGCACACATGACACTCGCGAGGAACCAGGCCCCAGTGAAGACAGAACCCCTGAGTCCATCTCCTTGCCCCCAGGTCCCCCGGGGGCGACCCGCATGACACCAGCACTGAACTGGGTGCTTCTGTCTGGGTGTTTTATGTAATTAAGCTGCACAGCGCATGTCCTGTGTCATGGGGTGGGAGTTGTGTGGTTTGGTTTTGCCGACATTTCGTAAAAGCGCCTGCGTCTCTTGCGTGTTGCAGGGGATGAAGGGGAGTGAAGTCACCGCCATGCTGGAGAAGGGCGAGCGCATGGGGTGCCCCGCCGGGTGTCCCAGGGAGATGTACGAGCTCATGAACCTGTGCTGGACTTACGAGTGAGTGCCCGTGCTGGATGCCTGGGGAGGGTGGCACCGCAGAGCGTGGGAGATCCTGGCCTTCCATGGGTCGGGGCGCCCTGCACACCAGGGGGGAGTGGCACCCCAGAGAGCGGGGATCCTGTTCGTCTACAAGTCGGGGCATCCCGTGCTCCGGATGCCAGGGGGAGGATGGTGCCGCGAAGGACCAGGATTCTGTCCTACCATAAGTTGGGGCATCCCATGCCCTGGATACTGGGGAGTAGGGTGGCACCATGCAGAGGGGGGATTCTGTCCTTCCATGAGTCCGTGGTGCCCCAGAGAGCAGGGATCCTGTCCTTCCATGAGTGGGGGCATCCCATGCCCTGGACACCGGTAGGGGGGAGGGTGGCACTGCAGAGAGTGGAGACCTGCTCTCCCACAAGTCAGGATGCCAGGGGGAGGATGGCGCCATGAAGAGCTGGGATCCTGTTGCCATGGGTTGGGGCATCTTTCTCTAGACTAACATGGAGTGGGTAGACTGACTCTGCTTCGGGGTCCTGGCTGTTGGCCTGCACGCTGTGTGCTTTAGAGTCTAAAGAGTGGGTATGTAGAGGGGGACTCTGACCCAAGTGCCCACATTTAAATGTTGGTTGGGGCGCTGTGGTTGGGGTGCAGATGGTCAGAGTGAGAGGTGCTCGTGGGAGTCTGGGCCACACCCCGCTTTTGGCCACAGTGGACAGTGGTCTGTCCTGTGCAGTCATTCTTTCCTGACCCCTGACAGCCTTCAGTAGCGAGGGTGACAGGTTTTTTTATTTGTCTGCTTGTTTGTTTTGAGTTGGAGTCTCACTCTGTCGCCCAGACTGGAGTGCAGTGGCATGCTTCTGGCCACCGCAGCCTTAACCTGCTGGGCTTTGGCCATCTTTCCACCTCAGCCTTCCAAGGAGCTGGAACTACAGGCGTGTGCTACCATGCCCGCCTAATTTTTTTGATTTATTGTAGAGATGAGGTCTCGCCAAGTTGCCCGGGCAGGTCTCAAACCCACGGGTTCAGGCAATCCACTTGTCTCGGCCTCCCAAAGTGCTGGGATACAGGCTGACCCACTGAGCCCATCCTACCCATGTGCTTTTAAAGTACATGTGATGCTGTGCTCTGGTGATGCTCAGGGCTGCCCAGCAGGGAAGGAAAATGCATCGCCATACCCAAGAGCCAGGGACACGGCTTTGCCCAGGCTGGGCGGCCTGTGTGCTGTGTGGTGGCCCTGAGCTGCCATCTCTGGACTTGTGGCTTTGATGTGTAGATGGCCTGTGAGCTCAGAGACAGTGGCTTGTGATCAGAGGTAGACCCAATGCTTTGTGGAGCCCCAGAAGCTTTTGGACAGCACAGCTGAGACAACTGATGTCATGGGCTCAACTGGAGATTCTAGACAGGTCGGGTCCTGGAATGCCAAGGCCTCATGCCTGGATCGCAGCCCCCACCACAGCTGGGGGCAGGAGAAACTCTTGTTCTTCATTTAGAAACAACCCAGGTGAGCCGGGCTTGATGGTTCAGCCTGTAATCCCAGCACTTTGGGAGGCCGAGGCAAGTGGATTGCCTGAGCCGGCAGGTTCGAGACCCACCTGGGCAACTTGGTGAGACCTCGTGTCTACAATAAATCAAAAATTAGCCGGGTGTGGTAGCATGCGCCTGTAGCTCCGCCTACTTGGAAGGCTGAGGCGGAAGGATCACTGGAGCTCAGCAGGTCAAGGCTGTGGTGGCTGTGAGCATGCCCTGGCACTCCAGTCTGGGCGATGGAGTGAGACTCCAGCTAAAAAAAAAAAAAAAACTTACCCAAGTGCAGCTGCAAGACAGAGGCAGCACATGGGCAGGCATTCCCATCCTGCTGTGCCAGTGTTCCAGGCATGGCCTGGCTGGACCCCTGCACCCAGGGCACCTGCCAAGACCATGGGCATCTCCTAGAACATTGAGTGTCGGTGCTGACGGGCAAGCTTCGTGTGGGCCAGAGAGGCAAGCTGTCCATGGAGGTGGTGCGGTGGCCACTGTTGCTTCCTGAGTCTCAACTTAAGTCCCCCCCTGCCCAGACTGTAGTCCACGGGCGGGTAGAGCTGACCACTTCTGATCCTGTCCCTCCTGAGGGGGGGCCACTTGACCCCCAGTAGCTCAGGCCAGGGGAAGGCCTCCCTGGGCATGACAGGTGGTCAGGCAGAACGAACACTCATTTGTCCCGCCGGTGGCTTCCTTCCAAGACCTTACTTCCTGGAAGAAGTCAGGGACAGGTTTTAAATCATTCCAAACAAATGCAGAAAACCTGTAATTAGATGAACTCCAGGGGGAGAGATAAAATGTGTTTCTGCCCTTCATGTTGTGCTGGTGTGTTCACGTCTGTTGTGGCTTCCCCGTGGTAGGTGTTTGACGTGAGGTGGGAGGGGCAGGGAGACTGCAGCACCCTAGACCCCCTGCTTGCAGATGGTAGACAGCAGAGCCCCCTCAGGCTGTGGCGGCTCCTGTGACCCAAGGATCTGCACAAGGGCTGCAGCCAGCCTCCTCTGGATGTACACGGTGTGTATGCTGCCGTTTCCAGAACCATCCACAGGCAGCATGAAGGTACAGTCTCCTGTTGGTGTTCATGGAGCAATTTTCCTCCAGAGAATGTTCTTTCAGAACATGCCTCCCTGCTGGAGGGTCAGGATCCAGCCCTGGCGAGGCTGCAGGCAGTGGGGTCTCTCCTTGGGCACTGTCAGCTGCACACTGCAGGGCACCTTCCCGTGAGTATAAGTCCGTGGGACCCAGGAACCAGCTCCAGGGACAAGCCTCAGGGAATAGAGATTAGACATGGTCCCCACCCTTTGGTCTCTTACCCCGCAAAGCTGTGTATCTGAAGGTTGACATTTTTCCAGCGGCAGCCTCAGTAGGGGAGGGCAGGGATGTTGAGGGACTTCGGTTACACCCAGGCAGCACGACTGTAGGTGAAGACACAGATTTCAATACCATTTGACAAAATGACCCACTTTGGTTCTGCACTTAGAACGAGTGGTTCTGGATCCTGGGCATGTTCTGGGTGTTTCTCTCGTATCTGGACAGAACCACACGAGACCACAATTGCTGTGGGTCAAAGTGGTTGAATGTGGACAGTGTCAAGCTCTGAGTCTCACATTCTATGTCACATGCAGTATATCCAGAAATCTTGAAAGATGAGAAAAATAGCTCCTAAGTGAGGGCAGCTTCCCAAGGTTTTAACACTCGCCTCTGGTTGGTCCATGCAGGATGCCATGTTGGAGACGTCGGTGAATATATGTCTAGAGGTCACAGATTATTTTGTTTGTTTGTTTCTTTGTGTCTTTATTTGTTTGGTTTTAGAGACGAGGTCTTGCTAGGTTGCCCAGGCTGGTCTCAAACTCCTAAACTCAAGCAATTCTCTCACCTTGGTCTCCCAAAGTGCTGGGATTACAGGCATACACCACCATGCCCAGCCCAGGTCACAGATTGTTGAAGCTTTTGTTCACAGCTTACTTACATGAGCACCCAGGGTCACTGTGGCAGTGAGACCCGGCTGGGTTTCGTGTATCATTTCATATATCGTAGACAAGATCTGAGTCTTTGCTTCTGCAGAGACAGGTTAGAGGTTTCTGTAAGAACCTGTATGAACAGCCCATTTTCAGAAACTCCAATGCCATTGACTAGAGTGTGGAAAGGGAGAGTTAAGGTCGTGTTCAAACAACACTATGAGTCAGACATTAAATACACCTGCAGTCCATTGACCGACTGGGTAGTTTTGGACACCTACTGCTTTGCCGGAATCACAAGGAGGCAGCCTCTAAGTCCAGGGCCAACAGACCCAAGGTTTTGCACAAAACGTCCAGCTTGGAGGGAGACTGAGTCACCTAGGATGGGGTCAAACGCAGGCTTGGGTTCTGTGGGTCTGGGTGGGGTGGGGTGGGGTCCCCTTCCTCCCAGCCTTCTAGCCACCAGGCGGCCACAGGAACCACGCTGTGAGCCTGAAGCCTGGGTGGCCCAGGTCGGTGGCTTGTGTCCTCCATGCCACCAAGCTCCTGCTGTGGTCATGTTTCACGGTGCAGGGACACACAGTGACCCATCTGTTCCCTTTCCAGGGTGGAGAACCGGCCAGGGTTCACTGCAGTGGAGCGGAGGCTCCGTAACTACTACTATGACGTGGTGAACTAGCAGCTCGGCGGCGGGCGGCCCTGACCACACGTGCCTCCCGGGAGTGTGTGTGCAGAGGAACTGGCTTTCAGGCTCTCCCTCCCCTCGGCCATCGGGAGAGCCAGCCTTATGTGGCATGCCTGTGGCTTGTGACACGCTCGCAAAGCACACACCACCCCAGAAGCAAGACAGACAGCGGGTGGAAGGCTGCAGAGTCCGCCTGTCCCTATCTGTGTGTCGTTCGTGGAGGGCTGCTTTTAGGACCTGTCTCCAAGTCTCCTTCTTGCCTTTCCCCTGCCTGGGTCCCAGGGGCACTGCCGGGCACCACAGAGGTCTCACCGGCTGCACTCTCGGAACATGGAGGATGCGGTCAGTCCTGGACCTTCCATAGCCAGCCGGGAAGGGAAGAAGAAGCAGGCTGCTTCCAGAGCATGGCTCTGGCAGCCTGCAGGACTGACCCTGGCCACTGAACAGCTTTCCCTGTGACAAAAGTGCTTTGGGGCTTCAAAAAAACCCAAGCTTGACCAATGCATGTCTACACCAGTAGCCAGTTGAAAATGGAGAGGCCTGCCTGGTTGCTTTATGTGCCCCTGTGTGAAGAGTGACGCCCAAGGCATGGCCCATCAGGCTCTTCCCCTGACCGCCCCCAGACCTTGTTATCTGCAGCTGGTGAACGTCTGCATGGAGACAGCACGGGGAGGCCGGCTGTCACTGCCCTGCATTTGACCCAGGACGGCAGGGCGCTTGGGGTCTTCTCCTTTTCCCAGACCTGCAGCCTGACCCCCGTCTCTTTCTCTCTGTCATGAGAGGCAACATGGGACTGGGGCCATCTAGAGACAGGTTTCTAGAACAAGTGTTCATTCGTAATAAAGCCAAAGACCCACAGCGTGGCCTCTGTGAGTGTGACTTCAGGTGAGAGACGTGATACCTAAGAATTCCCTTCTTGTCTTCTTGACTTAGTGTTTGACCATGTACAAGGGGAGTGGGGATCTAAGAAATATGGAATTATCTTTGGAAGGGCAGGCCCTGTGGAGGACAGGCTTCCCCTGCTAGGTAAGTGTTCTGGGAACCCATCAGCCTCAGTGTACTGGCTAGTATTGTTGAAAGGTTGCGTTCAGCTTCAGTGAATTTCTTTGTGTGGTTTTTCAACGTGTTTGCCTGTTTGTGATGGGTTATTTACGAGCACACTTGTCCACACCGCGCGGAGTGAGTGTTCAGCAGTTTTTGAGCAAACAGCATGACCTCTGTGCCCCACCCCCTCATTCAGCCAGTCGCACCCCAAGTGATTTTTTTGTTTTGTTGTGTTTCCCCGGATGAAAAACGTCCTCAAAGGGAAACTTTGTCCATGTGGAAGAGGTGAAACAAAACATGGCAGAAACACTTAAAGGCATCAACGGACAAGCTCAGAAACTGTTTTGAGCAGTGGACAAAGCATCTCAGTAGGATATTCCATCCAACAGAGAGTACTTTGAAGGTGACTGAAATTTAAACATAAGAGAATAAATACACAACTTTTTATAAATAAATTCTGTTCTTTTGGAATCCCACCTTCATACAAGTCACACCCATAGAAGTCAGTCTCACTGCGGCCCTTGGCCATGAAAGAGAGACTGGGCCGTCATTCTGATGTCGCAGATATGTGTGCGAGCTCTTGTACAGCCGTGGACAAGAAAGGAAGCCGTCTTCCTGTCCTCCTATCAGGTGAGTGAAGCCTAGAGAGAAGACAAGTTGGGCCTTGCTCAGACACAGAGGTTAGGGCCACCCACAGGGCTCACCTTGAGGAGTCTTTGGAAGCCACCTGCATTTGCCAGAATCTCGCGACCCAGGGTCTGACCTTTTTGTTGGGGTGGGGGGCTCCCTGATCTGAGTACACCAAGCAGGTTTCAGAACACATGGTGCTTCCCTGAAACCAACAAGATCAGGACGAAACCTTGGTCAGTCGGGCCGCAGCAGATGTAGCACCTTGGACTGTGGGTTGCTGACCCGGCCTTGGCCAAGTGGTGGCCACACCTGAGAGGGGCTGTGACGCTGGACTCCTGGGCCGCCATCTTTCCCTCGAGCATATCTTCCATATAGCCCATGTGCTCCTGGGAAGAAGGCAGTGCGTGTGTGCGCGTGCAAGTGTTCTTTCTCCCTTTCCGTGTGACTCTCTGGGCTCGTAGGAGGCTGCAGAGGACATGCCTCAACCTGCAGAGGCGCCTGCCACAGGCTCCGTTCTCCCAGCCTCCCAGAGCACTCCCTGCACCCAAAGGCCGTGTGCGATGCCTTCCATTTATTCCAGAAGGGCTGTGTTCTGTCACTGGGCATCTGTTAAAACTGTGAGTTTAACAAAAATTGAAACGAGCTTTGTGAGGGTTTTCATGGTCGTTATCAGGAGGTGAGAGGTCAAATACAGAGGCCAAGCGGCATGGTCAGGGATGCGGCATGTTTCGACGAGAAGGTGGACGTATACAGGTCCCACGGAGCCACCGTGAGCTCCCATCACAGCAGGGAGGCCCGTCAGGGAGGCCCCGTCCTTCTAGGAAAGGTCTGTGTCCTCTGACCACGAGCAGGAATCTGCCTGGCGAGGCCCTGACCCCACAGCCCGCCCTCTTGAAAGTGGGCAGGGGATCCCAAAGTCACTGATGGGGCCAAGCAGGGTTGGGCTGAGAGCTGCCCCTTCCTCTGTGAAGGAGCCTGCGTGCTGTTGGAGCAGACAAGAAAGGCTTCCAGAGCCCTGACCTCCCCTTTTCCAAAGAAGGTGACACACAGGCATGCACACATACGCTTCACACACACACACGTGCACACACAAGCGCACGCACCCATGCACAGCACACACATGCATGCACACACCCGTGCACAGCATACACATGCACGCCAGAGATGTGGTCATGTGAACACCTGCATACATGTGTGTGAATACATGCATGCACTCATATACATGCAAATACACACACACATGAACGGCACCCGCAGACCAGTACCCTCCCCCATCCTCACTACCTTCAGGTGGCATCCAAGCCAGATTTACAGCAGGGGCTGGACACGCCCCCCCCCGCTGAAGCAGACCCTATTGTTGGGCACCCCAGGGTCTCCCCGTGGCCCCCATGGGCCTCACGTTCCCAAGGGCAGAGATGCTACCGGCTGTGTGGGCCGCCTGTCCTTGAAACCGTCCCGGGTGGGCTGAAAGCCCCCTTCCCACGGCTCCCAGCAGGCGATGACCCCCAGGCGGGCACGGTGCTCTGCCCCCACCAGGCAGGTGCACAGGGCAGGCCCCGGGGCTGGCTGTGGCCTGGGGCTGACACACTCCAGGGCCTCTGGACGTGCAGAGGAGCAGCTGGTTTGGGACCCAGGGCCTCCAGAAGGGGCACTCTGGGCTCTGGTGGAGGGTGGGTGCCTCATGCCTGTGGGGTCTACCCTTGGGCTGCGCTGAGGCAGGCAGAGGCCATGTTGCCAGACCGTAGTGCGGAGAACTGACCGCTGCTCAGAGACGTGGTCTTGTGAACACGTGCTGGGAGCGGGCTGGCCACACTTGAGCCCGTTGCGGTCCAAGGCAGGCCCTGGGCGGGGCTCCAGGGAGGACCCCGAATGCCCTGGGCTCCCCTGGCCGCTTCCTCAGGCCCTGTGAGGTCCGGGCCAGCAAAGCACCGCTTCGCAGGCCAGACCTGCAGGGGGTGGGGTGACCCTGATGGAGATGGGCTACCAGAGCTGTCCGTGTGTGTCCAGGCGTGTCCAGCTATGCACATATCCATCCACCTGGGACAATTCTGGGTACCCTCACCCCAGAGCTCTGTGAGGCCACCCGAGGCCACCATCATCTCTCTCTGAGTCTGACCCAAGGCTCCTAGGGCCTCCCCACGAACGCCACTCACCCTCAGAGCTCCCAGAACCCACCAGCCAAGAGCCCCCCCACCCCGTGAGGTGAGCCAGGGCCTTGGCCCCCATCGTGTGTCCTGTGTCTTGTGTCCTGTGCCGTGTCTCGTGTGCACGCGTGGTGTGTTCCACATCGTATGTTGTGTGCCGTGCTCCGTGTGTGCTGTTCTGCGGTGGCCATCAGCTGCTGCTGGGTCCAAGGGAACAGGCCCAAACGGACATGGAGAGCTATTGCCCAGTCGTTCCCGGATGCCACCATTGGTCTGTAGGGTGCCCGGCCATGTGCCCCCTGCTCCCTCCACCCCTCAGAATCCACCAAGTCGAGAGGAAGCAGAAGACAGCTCTCTGAAACCCACAGACTAGAGGCTGCAGGTCAAGGACATGGAGGCTGGGGGCCGCATGGCTCCACTCAGTGCATGTGGGGTGTTAGTGGGGTGGGGAGGCCACGACGGACCGTCCCTGCACCTCAGGCCTGGGGGCCGCAGCTCAGGGCACCTCCCTAGCAACAGAGTCCTGGGGGGGAGGAGCTCAGAGCAGGGACCTGGGCTGCCTGCTGCACCTGCCTGTGTGATGCTCCTGCTGTGTGACCCGTGGGCAGCTGGCCCGGTCATGGTCACCTCCTGGGCGTATGGCTGGGTGAGCTGGCCCAGCCCCTGCAGCAGGGGTGGAAGAATCCCAGGAGCAATGACAGCACACGGGTGCCCGTCCTGTGTGTCCTTGCCTCTGCATGTGTGGGTCAGCGACAGGCATGGGTCTGTGGGAATCCGGGACTCAGAGATCAATCCAACCAACTGGACATGTGGCTTGACTTGCATAAACAGGTGTGTTTCTCCGTGGTCTTCGCTGGCCGCTGTCCACTCTGCTGTTCTGGCAGGACACTGCCCTCCCTCCTTCCGGAACAGCCTGGCCCGTTTCCCCCCATCCTTTGCTTCCAGCCTGTGGGGACCCTTGGTGTCTGTTGGGGTTTACTAAGGCCCCTGACTTCATCTCCTAGCAGTTGTATTTGACAACCTGGACACCCCTTCGCAGCCACCCTCCTCTGTGACTGGGACAGCAGGACATGCCGGTAAAACGGGCCAGTGCCCAGAAGTCACCTGGATGGAGTGGGGCAGGAGATCCCCTAAAAGCCAGGTTCCTCTTCTGCCCCTTGGGATCTGCCCCACCCCATGCAG